CATAATGGGCCAGATATAACGTTCGCCAAGTTGGCATACTATGATAGACAACTGGATTACTGAAGTTTATTGAATTTAAGATTAGGTATTCTAACGTTCCAAAAACTTTGGCCAGTCCAAAATGCCAACCACCTTCTCAAACACAGCCTCAGTGTAACACTACCCAGCAGTCAGTGTAGACTCTGCAGCATACCTCTTCTTAATAGAAAAAGTCAGTTTAACAGTCCTCTTGGACTATTTACCTTCAGCGGGATCACTGAAATTACCATGAGAGCTCATGAGAGCTTTCCAAGCAGCTGAATTAAACCTGGAGTGCTTTATGAAGAATGACAATCAATCTCTGAATCTAAGGACTGAAGAGCAAAATTCCCTTCTTTGGCCCTGTCACAATAGAGGGAGGAATGTTGAATGTGAAGAGCTTTATATTCAGACATGTTTTGAAGCACTGACTGCACTCACAAATTGGCCTCGGCTGCACAAAATTAAAAGCAGGCATGAGAGTGAACCTCTATCTTCCAGTCATTTTCCATCTGTATTATTTCTTGTTTACTTGAATTGATTTTCAGCTCAAAAGATGCGTGCTGGGCTTAGGAAAACCCCAAGACAGCATAGGTGCTCCAGGATAAATCTGTGCATGCTTTGCCCCATTTGTACGTGACCTGAATAGAATGACCTGCTCCACGAACAGACACTTGGACCTACACTGGGACTCCAAGGGCAGTCCAGAGCTAAGACCAAATCCACAACTTGTACTTCTGTAATAAGGACGGAGCATGAGGAAAAAACATTTTGACAGCAGACTTTGGTGTGCTGTTCAAGTCCTTAGAGCTCTTTTTCTTTGGGGGAGGGGGCACACTTGTCTATGGAGCTCAGCACTCGATAGCAATAAAGACAGACAAGGAATGCAATAGGAACCAAAGGTCCGGTACGCAAGCTGCACAGCGTGCTCAGCAAAACAATTGTATCATGAAAGCACTGACATGAAACAAATGCTTTTTGCTGTATTTATTAATAGAAGAACTTCGTTGCCAGAAAGAGATCTCAGGGGATGATAAATAGGTTCTCTTCTTTTTTTATTGGGTATGGTAAAGTTAGTGTTGTAGGCTTAGAAGATGAACATAGGAGATCTGAATTCCATTAATTTCCTGGCTATTGTAATGGTACAAACAAATAGAATTTTCTACAGCAGGGAACCAACTTGACAGAAGAGTTGAATCAACTGGGATATGAGGGTACTGATTAATAAGATACTGCAAACACTCTTTATCCACACCCTGGGTGAGAAAGAAATGGCTAGAAAAGAACATTTGGTACCATTTGAAACATTAACTGTTAAAGGTTCCACAAAGTGCTGCTGTTCTTAAGGAGTATAAAATAAAGACTTACTGTTATAAGGAGTTTGGGATTTATTTCAGTGAATCATTTTACATCTGCAGAAATTCACAGTTTTCTCACAGGGAAGATTTTTTTTCTTTTTGACAAAGATTTGGAAATGGGTGAAATTTAACCTGACAATCTCGCAGTTCAGAATTTTCATTAAGAACTTTAGAATCACATGATGTAAGTCTGTAGGAGCATAAGTTAATTATGATAATTTTTTTTAATTATAGAAAAAATATTAATTCTCAAAGTGTTTGAAATGAAATATCTAAGTTACATTAAATTCTATTTCCCCAGAATTTTGAGATATAAAAAAATGTCAAAATTAATTTATGTACTTTTTGGAGAGGTCAAATAAATACAAATTATCAAAAATATACAGGATAGAAAAGTGTTTTCCACCCAGCTACACTCCTAGCAGTATTTCCCAGAGCTCCTAAATGTCAGATCTCAGCTCCAACATTAGCTTCTATTTAAAGACAAATCACTTATTTATAGTATTTTTAATGATGATAAGTACACACTAAGTGGAAACAAAACAAAAATACTGAAATGCTTTCTTACAGCAGTAGTATTTGGACATCCAGGACAGAAACCTCATCCAGCCATGTGCTGATCCTCTGAATTCTGAAGCACAAACTGCTGTTGTCTTCTGGTACAACCACTATGATACTGTCTGACTAAGCAACCCTTAGTGACAGCGTTATCATCTGAGGCAATGCCTCAAAGATGTGCTGTGTCCAATGTCCGTTCTTGGCCTGCTGGTAGAAAATGGTTGGTTGTGGTCTTTGCACGGATGACTGACTGCAGAAGTGTCAGGGCTGGTGACTTCACCTTGGAGTGGCGGCACAAAATTCAAGTTGTCAGAGTGCAACTGGATATATTTGAAAAAAAATCATTGAGATTGTTCTTCAGAATTCTTATGCAAGTCAAAACCCGTCAAGATTTAGGGAATCATCTAAATGTAAAAAAAACCCTAATGTTTTCAAACTGGAGTTGCAAGCCTCAACATGTTGTGAACAGTTTTGAGAGCTGTGAACCATCCCTCTGTCAATAAAAGATGAAGGGTGGGAATGCAAACATTTTCCTGTTCCCTGCCACCGTAATCCATTCACAGGCACAATGCTAGCAAGGTCATAGCTCCCTCAACCCAGTCACAAATCTGTCCTGCCTTTTTCTACGATATAACTAGACAAAGAATGGTCCGATTCCATCCATCTACTGCAAAGTAGGGTGAGAAGACTGAAGCAGTTGAGTCACAGAGAGAGGCACAAAATATTCCTTTCCTTTTGTTGACTACACGGGTTGGTAAAATATTTGAGGCAGATGGGAACCCTCCTGACTGGCAAGTTTTTAAACTGCTGTTCATAAGAACAGAAGGATAAACAGTTGCCTGATTATGTACAGTATACATTGCAAGGCTTCTTACTCAAAGGAAGTAGATTAATATCATGAAACATCTACCACTCAAATACAGATTATAATGCATACTGCATAGGCATTACTCATATCAGTGGTATGTCAATGAAATACAGAAACCTGAACAGAAGTGTTTATTCATTCAACTCCAGGAAAAAATAAACAACACCTTATTAGTAATTACAAAGAGATCACATGACAAAACAAAATTGCGTGCATCTTTTTCACTTAGATCTTAAGTGATAGAGGAGCACAGTCTCAGTATATATTGGGTATCTTTGAATACATTGTTTATCCAGACAAGCAATAATAAAGGATAATATGTTGTGATTTTTACACAGTAGCATGCCTGGATCAACATGGAATATATATTTCATTTGTCACTGGAGATTATAAAAATATCCTATACAGCTTTACATCAGAAAATAGTTTTTGGGCTACACATTTGGATTCAACAAAAACAATGTCTTTCTAATGGAATCGCATAAGGAGGTAAAATATCCCTTAGGGGTCTTGGTTTAATTACATAATTTTGATGCACTTTTAATGTACCTCAACTATAGTTTCATAAGTGCAAATCAATTTGTCCGTCTGGTTCTATAGCCATTGCTAGCACCAGTACCAATAACTAAATACTGGTTGCCTTCAGACACAGAAGGTAGCTGTGGCATAGAACAAGTTGGGCCATGAGCAACCAGAGAACGTTCTGAAAGGTCCTTCAGATTTTTGGCCTATATTCATTAATCAAGAGAGAAATGTCCAACCTTTCAGGATATGGGGGATGGTAGGATTTCCTTAACACAGTTGGTGTGGGACAAATCTTGCGGAAAAGGGCCAAATCTAGGAACGAAGCTTCATGTCTCCACAAAAGCATTTGATTAGGAACTGAAATTTCATGTCAGTGCAGCTGAAATAGCTCAGTTCTGGACAGAAAACTTTCTGCAGTGTGAAGAGTAGGAAAGCAGCTGCTTTGCAGGCTTGGTAGGTGTTACGGGTTTGTGTGGTGGGTTTTTTTGGTAGCAGGGTAGGGGCCGCAGGGGTGACTCCTGTGAGAAGCTGCTCGAAGGTTCCCAGGCTCAGAGCTGGACCCACCGCTGCCCCAGGCTGAGCCCCTCAGCGATGGTGGTCGTGCCTCACGGAGAAAATAATTAGGAAGGGGAACCTGCAGTGAGTAATGGGAGTGGAATGTGAGAAGAACCCCTCTGCAGATACCAAAGTCAGTGGAGGAGGAGGTGGAGGAGGGGATGCCACCACAGCCGGCGGGGAGACGGTGTAAGAGACTGTGTTGGACTGTGTTTGTCTCGACGCTGCTGCTGCACCGCCACCGTTTCCTGGCCTCAACAGCCTGTTGCCGTGGAGGAGTACGCTCTGCAGGAGATGAAATGTCCCCGAAGAAACCACCATATCCTCCCGAAGGTCGAATGACAGCGTCCTGGGCAGCGCCTACCAAGCTGCGCTCGCACGTGAGCCGGGTGGAGAGGAAATCGGGGTGAGGAAGACGTGCAGAGGCTGAAGACGCCGCAGGTCAGACCCCCTGCCAGCACGACCACCGTGAACACCTGGGCATGGAGGAACACGGGGCAGCACCGCTCGGAGCTGGGATTTTGACATCATCGCTCTGCTGGAGCTTGGAGATCGGAGCTTGGAGCTTACCCCATCACCTGTACCGAGACCAAGCCAACGGGACGTCGCTGGATTCGTGGTGGTGGTAACTAGTGTTGCTGCATCTCTTCCATTTCCTTGCTTAGGTCTGCCTTTTTTCTTTCTTCCCTCTGTTCTGTCGCTCTTATCAGTTGTTACGGGAAAAAAAAACTTACAAGGTTGTACGGCATCTGACCTCGTTTGCGTCTTAATCTCACTCTTGGGATCGTTTAAGAACCCTCCCCGATATTGGATCAGGACATTTTAAATTGGCGTCACAGACAGGATCCCTAGAGACGAGAGTGCTGCACTACCTTGCTGTGTTCAGTACAGCCCACTCAGGATAAAATAGCCCCCTTTGTGTTACGTTAAGGTGTGACCCCCTGAGAGTGAACAGGGGGAACCTGGATATCAAGGTGTAGCCCTCTCAAGACAAAAAACCCTTTGTATTAGGATAAAGGAAAAAGAATGGCCGACCAGAAGGCAGCCAATGCTTGTGATGATGTGTCCTCATGGGCTGAAGGAACAGATAAATTATATGATTTTTTGGAGGTGCACGGATGTCGCCCCTCACTCCAGGGACAAGAATGGGCAAAAAGCACTGGTTTCAACCACAGAGTGTGGTGGAGAGGATAAGGATATTGCAGAAGGAAGGTAATGTTAGAAGGGGGAAGGGAAAAGCTATAATTTGTGCAGTGTTGGGAGCGAGTCTGGCAGCTGCAGTGGAAGAGAGGAAGCAGAAGTTTTGTCAAGCTGATAGTGAAACAGACTCCCTGCAGATGGTCATACAGACCCTGCAGGAACAATTGAAAGAAAGTAAACAATTGCTAGAGGAGGAAAGGAACCAAAATGAAATATTAAAGAAGAAATGGAGGAACCAACTTTTGAGGGAGGTAGAGGTAGAAGTGAAGCATTCAGAGAAGGGGATATGGCAAAACTACCCCCAAGGAGATTTGCAGAAGGCAGAAGAAACCGTTGAAAGCCTCCCCCCTAAGTATCCACTGATTAAAACAGAGTACGTGTATAAGGACAATAGCGATGACCGTCCTCAGGTTATCACCGGAGTCCCATTTACAGCATCTGAATTCGCAAAGCTGAGAAAAGATTTTGCATGGACTGCAAAGGAATCAGAGACAGAGTATGTATGGAGAGTGTCTTTGTCAGGAGGGGATGGAATTTTGTTGTCAGAAAAAGAAGCAGAAGGATATTGGGGTCCGGGTGTGTTTCTAACTACCGGCGATCACCGAGCCCCATGGTCATTGACTCAGAGAGCTGCGTATTGGGCTGGAGGGCTGAACCCCTTGGAGAGGGGAGATCCCCTTGCCATAACAGGTACGGTGGATCAGTTAGTGGAAAGTGTGCAGAAAGCAGCCTGTCTCCAGATGATGTATGACTGGGAGCTCAAGCCCAACCTGGACTCTGTGATGATGATGCCTGTGGACCCAGAGAGGATGAATCCCCTGATATGGGGACTACCCGACTTCCTGAAACCCATTGGGATTCAACTAAAAGGGAAGATATACAACACCCCCAGCAGAGAAAGAATTACAGCCGCTCTGGAGGGGATAGTGACCCCTGACCATCAGTGGTCAGGGAGAAAAGTATGGACATGGGGAGAGGTAGCCCAGGAATTGATTAATTTTGGGAGAAAATATGGCCCCGTTGGTGAATTGTCCCAAAGAACCAAAACCAGAGTTGTACAGGCTGCAGAGCAAGCTAGTGGGCAGCAATCATCCGTAAGAAAGGGCCAAGGCTTGCAGTCGCTCCGATGTCAGAATTTTGGAAGAAAGAGGCCCCTAACTCGACAGGGACCGTGGCAGCTAGGGCTTCAGAAAGGCATTCCCCGGGACTTGATGGATGGACTCCCGACAAAAACATTAGAACAACTTGTGCGGGAATGGTCAGGGCAAAGGACCACTTCCAGACCAGCCCCTAATGCTGCACCTTTGCTAGACCTTGAGGAGGAGCTGACTGGGGAACAGAAGGTGGTGGGAAACTAAACCCTCCGCCCCCCGAAGGTGAGGGGGGAGGCGGAGGATGGATGTTTGTAAGACAACTCACCTGCAATACCAAAGGGGATTTACTGATTACTGTTGCTGTAGGACCAAGGAAAAGACCGGTAACCTTTTTAATTGGTACTGGGGCACAAATTACCGTGCTAACGCAGACCAAAGCAGAACAATGTGGAATCTCGATTCCACCTAGAAATCTGATTGTCTTAAATGCCTTGGGAAAAACACAGTCAGTGCCTATGACTCCGGTGACACTATGGTTACCAGGAGAGGAAAACCCTGTCAATACCCTGGTGGCCACAGGATCTTTTCAGATGAATCTTCTGGGTATAGATGTTTTGAAGGGTAGGCAGTGGCATGATACCCAGGGAAACTCATGGTCCTTTGGTATTCCTCAGATCAGGCAGTTGGCCAAAACATCCAGCACGGAGGTGCGTTTATTGCAAGTGGCACCTACCCTTCCCCCTTCCAAACTGACAAATGTTAAACCCTATCCAGTGCCTCTAGGAGAAAGAGAGGGAATTACACCAGTTCTGGAGGATTTAAAGAAACAAGGGTTGTAGTTTCTACTCACCCCCCCTTTAACTCTGCAGCATGGCTGGTCGAAAACCAAACGGCAAATGAGATTGATAATAGATTACAGGACACTCAATGCCAACACAGATCCACTAACAGCTGCTGTACCAAATATTGCTGAATTGATAGCTGCCATTCAGGAACAATCCCACCCTGTCATGGCAACGATTGATGTCAAGGATATGTTTTTTATGGTCCCTTTACAACCTGAGGACCAGGATTGCTTTGCCTTCACCTGGGAAGGACAACAGTACACCTTTACATGACTGCCCCAAGGATACAAGCACTCCCCCACGCTGGGTCACCATGCTCTAGTGCAAGAGTTGGAAACAATCCCCATAAAAGCAGAGGTAAAGATCTATCAATATATAGATGATGTGCTCATAGGAGGGAGTCAGGTAGAAGAAGTTAGAGAAACCCAGAAGGACATCATCACCCATTTAGAAAGTATAGGGTTGACAATTCCACCTGAGAAAATACAAACCCCTTCAAGTGAGGTAAAATTTTTAGGAATGTGGTGGAAGGGAGACATGATGTGTATCCCACTGGATACCCTTTCTTTTCTCGATCAGATCAAGATGCCCGAGTCAAAGAAAGACTTACAGCATGCACTATGGTTGCTTGTGTTTTGGAGGAAACACATTCCTGACTTCTCAATTATTGCTAGACCCCTGTATGACTTATTGAGAAAGAGAGCTCAGTGGGAATGGACTCAGGTCCATGATGAGGCTTTACAGCTGTTGGTGTTTGAAGTGACTGCCTATCAGGCCTTTGGTCCCATTCACCCAGCAGATCCGGTTCAAACTGAGTGGGGGTTTGCCAAGACTGGACTGTCGATCCATTTGTGGCAAAAGGGTCCAGAGGGGCCTGTTCGGCCCATCGGGTTTTATTCTTGTAGCTTCAAAGATGCTGAAAAAGGTATACAACTTGGGATAAAGGTCTATTTGTAGTTAGTCTAGCTCAAAGGGAAGCCGAACGGACCATCCGGCAACAACCTATAGTGCTCAGAGGTCCATTTAAAGTGATCAAAGCAGTTTTGGCAGGAACTCCCCACCCCCAATGGGGTGGCCCAGAAAGCCTCCATGCAAAAACGGTATGCACAAATAAAACACTATTGTGAAATTTTTTCTGTATCTGAAGGAGCCACGAAAGTGTTAAATATACAAGATGAGGTAGACTCGGATAGGGAAACACCCGAGCTTTTGTCTGTAATACAAGTAGCTCCTCCGTTTTCTGGACAATTGCAAAATGTCTGGTTTATGGACGTCTCGTCGAAGCGAGAGGGAAAAATTTGGAAATATCGAGCTGTGGCACTTTGGGTAGACACCAAGGAACAGATCATTACCGAAGGGGAAGGTAGTGCACAAGTAGGAGAACTAATTGCTGTGTGGAGCGTTTTCCAACACGAGGCTCAGTCTGCTTCTTCTGTCTATATCTATACTGACTCCTATGCTGTGTTTAAAGGTTGCACTGAGTGGCTTCCATTCTGGGAACAAAACGGATGGGAGGTCTATAGAATACCTGTATGGCAAAAGGAAAAATGGCAAGATATTCTTACTGTTGCCAAACAAGGGAAATTTGCAGTAGCATGGGTAGCATCTCACCAACCAGATGATGCCCCGGTGAGCCAATGGAATGCCAAAGTGGATGAGCTAGCCCGGCTGGCTCCCCTACAAAGCACCCAGATAGTAGAAAATTGGGAACGTCTGTTAGAATGGCTACATGTAAAACGGAAACATTCAGGAGTTAAGGACCTCTATTGTGAGGCACAAGCCCGAGGGTGACCAGTTACCAGGGAAGAATGTAAAATTTGTATATCTTCCTGCGAACAATGCCTCATCCATCTGGACAGACACCCTCTGGAGGGAGACGCCTTGGGACTAAGAGAGGGAAAAGGCCTATGGGAGGCCTGGCAGATTGATTACATCAGTCCTTTTCGAAGGTCAGAGGGAAAGTACTATGTACTGGTAGGTGTGGAGATAGTGTCCGGACTAGCACAAGCTAAAGCATGTGCTAAGGCAACAGGAGAAAACTCCGTAAAGGCTCTGAAAGAATGGGTTTGGAATTTTCCCCAAACCACAGTCAATCCGATCAGGTAACGGCTCACATTCCACAGCCAAAGTGGTCCAGGAATGGGCAGCCCGCGAGGGAATTTCGTGGGTGTTTCATACTCCGTATTACCCACAAGCAAATGGAATTGTGGAAAGAACAAATGGTCTATCAAAGAGCTTCCTCAAACTGCATAAGCCAGGATGGGCTGAGTGAGTGTGGGATGCAGTGACCAGCGTTAATAGTCGCTGGGGAGTAAATGCATGTCCAAAAATCACAGCATTCTGTCCAAAAGCTCCAACAATCATGCCAGGCCCACATGGCCTTGATCACCCCAGCAATCCATCTCGTTTTCCAGGACAACCTGTCTTGGTCGAACTTCCCACAGTGGGTACGGTGCCACTGGTGTTGGACACACCCCTGAATAAATACACCTGGAAGGCAAAAGATGCCTCTGGAAAAACTCGTAACATTCACACTAGATGGATTGTTCCCTCTTTCTAACCCGAGAAGCGGATTTGTCTCTTATTTCATTTTCAGGAGGAAGCAAGCGGCCCAGGCGTGCCCAGGGAAGAAGCAAAGCAGACGCAGATTTTAATATAATTTGGTTAGGATGTGTATGTTATTTTTAATTATACTATTTTGGGGATTCACCTATAAGAGTGAAGGGAAGCCAATTCCCCCACCTCCCCCCAACCCATATGATCCCTTTAAGGATAATGAATTTGTTTTGTTAGCAAAAGCTGTAAGCCAAACCTTTAATCTGAGTCACTGTTGGGTTTATGGAGGACCTCTAGGGTTATCAAGCTGGCCATGGATCTCTACACCCCTCACTCCAGCACAAATCGTAAGCAATTATAGTGAAACTGGTAACACCACCTGGGATGATAGTGAAACATGGCCAATTCCATTTCCTACTGTGGGTTAATATTGCTTAAATCCCATCCAGAAGGGAGGGGTCAATGTGGGGGAAGGCAGGTGTCAATGGACACTCACACATAAATTGGTTCATGAAGATAGAGGTGTTTACATATGGATGTGGCTTGATGAAACCGGACACAACAAAGGGTTTAAAAGGATTTTGGTTGAACAAAAATGAAACCTTATTTCTCCAATGGCCTGGAAACCAAATTTACCATCAAATTTGTGAGTGGAAGAACAACACTGGTGCCTGGTATTGTACCAGCCAGACAAACAACAACAAACCAAACACCTTTTTCAGCCCTTTGGGAAATGTTGACACAACTTATTTCCAATTCCCAAAGGTTGCAGCTGGACCATTTGCTAACAGTGCCAAAGCCAAAAAAGGCCATTATTGGATTTGTGGACATACAAACAACTGCCTACAAACAACTACCAGCACACTGGTCAAGGATTTGTTATAGAGGGATTATCCGACCTCTGTTTTTCCTTTTTCCAGAGGCAGGTGATCCTCGATTGGGAATAAGACTATATGATAATTTAGGGGACAAAAAGATTGCACGTAACTAGCGATCTGTTGAGGTTAAGATAGGTGGAACACAAAAGTGGGGGGAAAATGAGTGGCCTCCCGAAAGAATAATTGAGCATTATGGGCCTGCCACTTGGAATCCCAGTGAACCAATAGCAGGGGCAAAAGAACCGATTTACAATTTGAACCGCATAATTCGATTGCAAGCAGTCTTAGAAATTATTACCAATAAAATTGCTAATGCTATAGACCTTTTAATTCAACAATCTCAACAGATGCGCACTGCAATCCTTCAACACCGCAAGGTTTTGGATTATTTACCAGCTGAAGAGGGAGGAGTATGTGGGAAACTAAATGTCTCTAATTGCTGTTTGGAAACAGACAATGTAGGTGAAGTAGTTCTTCAACTAACCACAGATATTAGGAAACTATCCCATGTCTCCGTTCAAACATGGAATGGCTGGAATGGTGATTTACAGTCTTGGTTACCTGGAGCACCATGGGTAAAACAGCTTTTATTTTATCTGTTATGTGCATTTGCTGCTTTGATGTTTTTGCCATGTATTATTCCTTGCTTTATTCAATTAATCCAACATGCTGTATCTAACATGCAATTCATATCTACTGCCTCGCCTGATGGTGTAAAGCAGATTCGTGTCGTTCGCCAATCAACGCCTGCAGCTGTATCAATTATGTAAACCCTTTTTTTTCATTGTTTTTGTTCTTATTTGTCACTGTCTAAATTTGGAATAGACACATGTGCTCTGGGCTGGGGGCGTGGAAATTCATTTTCCTGCTGCGTAGGCAGACTCCCCAACTCACGTGAGTCAGACCACCATCTTCAGCTCCGCAATCAACCAGAACGTATACCCTTTTGATACTTAATTTTGGGGCAATTGCTTTGTTAGCTCTT